GTTCTCCATGGAGAGGTGTGTTTCTGGATGATGTCCCGGAGCACATTCCCATAAACGGCCGCTGCAGCCGGCAGCGCAGGCGGGCCAGGGCCGGGCCCTGCGGCGAGTGCGGGCTCGGGAGCAAAGGGGCCTTGGTGCGTGCGTCCGCGCACAAGCGCGACCGCCGACAGCTGCTGCTGGACGTGGAAGACTTCAACTTGAAGAAGGGCAATTTCAAGCAAAAGCAGGGAGGGCATCCTGGCAGTCTGGCTCTGGATTATGCAATCATTTGCTGGTTTCGAGTAATGTGGAAGATTTTGCTCATCTTTTCTGATACACTAGGCAGGGGGAAGTGGCATCTGTGTGTTCTCTCCCAGACTTGAGGTCTTCTGTGTTCCATGGTAAGTCTTGCACTATTTTCATACACTTTTTTTTCTGGGACACATTTGTAGCATTTGGCAATTTCATATTTCAGTTTTTTTGTTGAAGGTCTTGCCATTTCAGCTGTTACCTGGAAATCTGTAGTACTTGAACTGCTCGCCACACAACTCCACTCCTTAGGTTTGAAGCCCTCGGACAAATTGCTGTCATCAGTTAGCAGTTTGCCACCAGTGTGATTTGTGTAGCCTGGAGGTTCTTTTTTCCTTCTGTAGTGCTGTGGTGTTCTGCTGCCACCTAATTTGTTTGTATGGCATACGGCACTGGAAATAACTGACAACAGAAACGGAGTAGTAAAAAGAGCTCCTGAGCCATTCTGCTTTTTGGCTTGCTTCTTGTTTAAGTGACACGAACCCTTGGAACATCATCCAGAGAAGTTTACATGGTGATAGCTCACCTGCTGTACTGTGGACTCTTACGTGTTCTTGACCCTCTTAATAGTCAATGTACCTCTTAGAGCAAAGGAAGGGATTCACTGACCATTACTGTTAGTTGCTGATTTGTGAATGGTGGGAGTATTTTGTCATTACGGTTCTACTTCAACAAACTTGGCCGACCATCTTGACTTTAGTAAGTATTCGAGACAGTGGATTACCATCTTTATTGCTGTAACTTGTCAAGCATTATATGCTAGTAGATTCTAGTTTAATTGTTGCAGGTGGAAAGTATTTTTACTTTTAAGTTTCCATTCTGAATGTGTTTTGACTAAACATGCCAATAAACTACTGATGTCTGCAGCATTTATCCATGTCCCTAATTCTCTTGCATGCAGGTGGCTGTAGAGCCCCGGCACCCCTCGCTCACAGAAAAGATTGTGTAAGAACATTGTTGCTGACCTGGCTGGTGACAGTGACAAGTTGTAGCAGCACAGTACCATGTGCTTTGAAGTGTTTGACTTTGGTGGTATCTCTCACCTTGGGGGGTGTGTGTGTCTGGTCCAGGGAGGATTTGAGCTCCTCTCAGACGTGTCCCAGCTGGGATCCCTCCACACCCTGCCAGGCTGCAGCATCTGGCTGCAGGATACAGCTTAAATGGTTATTGCAGCAGTGCTGGGAGGAATGTGAGCTGAGTTGTCTTTAAAACAAACAGACTAGAGTTGCTTACTCTCCACTTTAGTGTCATTGAGTTTTGATGGTGCAGAAGTAATTGCCAAAAATTTCTTGTTTTTTACTTCTTGTGTTTGTTGGCAGTTACCCAGAAAGGCTGGTAAAAGGGTTATTCTTGAACTGCTCATAGATGAAGTGTGGCCGAATCATGGAATCTCTGAAATTCCTGTTGGCTGTATCTTGTTGAGGATATGTCTTGCCTGTAATATTTCCTGATAAAAGGCAGTTAGGAGGTGACTGAAAAGTGATCCAGTTGTGTGAGCTGGAATACTGGAATGAAAAAACTGGATCCTGTAGAAGTCCCAAAGCCAGAGTGGCCAATAATTCCTCAGAGGAGCATCCTCCACAGCTACAAGATCCGCTGATCTCCAGAGATCTCCAGAGAAACACGATGCCCTGTTCCACCCATGAGGGCCTGCAGCATTCAGACCTTGGTGCCTTGAGTTGTGAGGTAAATTGTGCTGGTTCATGTTATCTGGGGCTGAGGGGATGTGTCACACTACAACATGAAATAACTCACGCACTCACACTAAGATCAAAAGAGCAAAAGGAAGTTAATTTTATTTCTGACCTCACAATATATAGAATTCCAGAGGTGACTGTGGATTAGAGGATGAAATTGCCACCTCTCCAACCACACTCTTCAAACCAGCAGTCCATCTAGTCTCTCCTCCCACAAAGAAGAATGCAAAACAATCATTATTTACATGAACAGTGTGTGAGAACTCCAGTAGAAATATGTAAACATCAGAAGGCATAGAAAACTTTTAAAGGAACTTTAAAACATTTAAAAGAACAAGGCAACAGGGAAGGGCAGGAGATAATATTGTCTGAAACTCCACAGGGTTAGCCAGGACCTGGTTTTACTTGTGCCAGGAAGTCTTGCACATTTCAGATTGTTCAAGAGCGCCTTCTGTCAGCATCAGAGCTGACAAGATTGCCTGTAGTGGAGGTAAGAGAAAATGCCAGGACAGCTGAGGGATGTCACAAAGCAGCCACCTCCTTGGTGCTGCAGAGGCCTGGCCTGTTCCCCTGGCAGTGCCCATGCTCCGGTACCTTTACAAAGCCTGGTGCTTTTACAGAAGCCTCTGCAGTACAGGGATTGCTGGGGTTTTGCATGTCATGTGGAGAAATCCAGCTTGGAATGGTCATTTATTGGACATGGTAGAAGAAGATAGGCTGACTGGTAATCCTTGGGAAAGCCATTGATGTCTGGTCGAAGCTTGGCTTCTTGCAAGGGGAAGAAAAGCAGATTAGGAAGCCATTGTCCCTTTGGTTTGTGCTCTGCCTTGTGTTCCCTGGGCCTGAGCTAAAAGGAGACGTCTTGGTAATGGTGCTGCAGCACTTGCTGTTCCCTCGGAAGGGTGGGAACAGTGGGAAGTGCAGTGTCTGTGTGTAGGAATTAAAGCCTAGAGCAGCTCTTGCAGATGCTGACACCGTTCCTCTGGCTGCCTTCATTGTATGCCTGTCCCTAACTGGAGTCCCTGAATGTCCCGAGAGGTGACATCCTCTGACTAAACCAGAACTGGTACAACGGGGCACCGAGGACCTGGAGTTCCCTGCCCACAGAAGGCCCATATTGCCCTGCAGCCCTCACAGCAAGCCCCACAGTGCAGCTACACAAGTGCTGCTCTGGGCAATGTGTGGTCACCGCCTTTGTCCCAAGGCAACAAGGACACAAATTTGGCTGTTGTGTGACCTGGCCACTGTGCCCTGGCAAAAGCCAGTACGGGGTGGGTGTGCTCTGGCTGGAGCACACATGAGGAGTTGTCTCTCTAGGATAGCATGGGTCATTGTTTGCACGATCAGGACCAAGTCCCCTCAGTGGCTCAGGTCCCCTCAGCAAAGAGAAGAAACACGAGCCTGTCAGGGCAAGTGCGGAGCACGGCGGCTCTGCCAAAGCCTTTCCTGGAGCATCGCAGGGGCAGCAAGAGCTGCTCCAAGAAGGAGCACTTGGACTTTGCCGGGCATGTTGGCCTCTGCTGATCTGCTCCTGCAGCCTGCACAGAGGCATTGCTGTGCTGGGGGCAGAGGAGAGGAGGTCTGTGCAAAGGTGGCTCAGTCGCTCTGTGCTGCAGCAGGCCTCTGGCTCCATTGAACTGCTTGCAGGAAAGAATAAAGAAAAAGACGAGGTAAGTGTCGACCAATGTTCGTGTTCCTGTGTAATGAAACATGCTGCAGAAATGAGCGTCCCAGGGGTGCTATGGTGTGTGAGACCCGTCTGTTGGTGCTGGGCTGCAAGCCCACGGAGGGCAATTCTGGACGGGACCTGGTCTCGTGTGAGAGCTCCGAGCTGGGCGCGGTTAACGGGAGGCGTTTAGCGCCCGGCCGCGCCGCCCTCCGGCAGCCGAGCCGCGCGGAGCGCAGCGGACTGCGGCCGAGGGCACCGAGCGGCTCCGGGTTAGCCGAACCGAGCCGAGTCCGGCCGCACGCAGCGAGCGGGCCTGGCCCAGCCGCTGCTGGGGAGAGCGGCTGCCGCCTCCCGTTACACCCCGGCCGCCTTCGGGACGGAGAGCGGCGGGAGCGCCATCCCCGCCTCTCCGGGGCAGCGCCGGGCTCGGATTCCCGCACGGAGCCTCCGGCGGTGAAGGCGGGAGTCCGCGCAGGTGTTTCGAGGGGCGGCGCGGGGCGGGGCTGCTCTGGGGTCGGGCCGGGGCTGCTCTGGGGTCGGGTGGGCTGTGCCGGTTCGCTGCCGGCGCCACAACAGCAGCGGCCGCGGCGGGGTCGGTTCGCTGTCAGCCTCGCGGTCTGCGCGCAGAGAGCGGCGGCGCGGAGCAGGTGAGCGCGGCGGGACCGGGAGCTTGGCCGGGGCCGGAGCCTGCCCGGGCCGGTGAATTGAAATGTGCCGTAGCAAAAGGTTTTGTTGGCATAGGACCAGGAAATGTCTCTCCGAGGAGTTTCCTGTAGTGAAGGGCATGATTGAGGTGGAGAGCTTTTCAGGCGAAAATTTAAAACACTTTTTAAAAATCGAGTTAAGATATGAGATCTGTCTCAAAGCATGGCCATTTGCAACTCTTAGCAAATGAAGAGATGCTTGATTTGTGACTGGTGTAAAAATTATCTGTTTGGTTTTTTTTTTTCACAAGAGCTCTTTGCTAATTGTCTTCTTTAGATCAAACAGTACTTTTGAAACTTCTCTTAATATGTAATTATAATGGCTGAAGTCGAAAATCAGCATGCAATTGAATCAGGGTATTAAAGTCTCTCCAAGTTCTCATATTCTTTCGTAAAAAATTTCCAAGAGAATAAACATGAAAAAAACTAACATATACAGATACGTATACGAACGAACAAATACAGACTCTCTGCCCATATATTCTATTTAGAATGGCCATTTGGTGTAGGCAGCACTGCTGAGCTTTGCCTTGCGGTGGTCACCAGCAGACAGGGACAGGTGTGGTTTTATAAAGCCTTTATTTACTTTTTTTTTTTTTTTTAAATGAAGGGATTGAAAAGCATATGGTGTGACAAAACACAGAGGGTTGATGAAATATTCATTCAATACCAAATGAAAAAGGGTAAGGGGTCGGAAAAGTTACACAGCAAGTTTTTTCTTCATGTTTTTCTCACTGGCAACCTGGATTGGAGAGACAAAAGGGAGTATTTTATAACATGGCAGCATACTGGTGGTACTTCAGTTATTTGAGCCCTGTGCAGTGGCATATGGTAAAGCAATTAGGGAAAGCACAGGTGGTGGTTAAAGGGAAGCTGGATGCTTTTTGGGGATAAAGAAGTTAAGTAAATGGAAAGTTGGGCAGGAAGGGGCAGACAGACTGACAGACAAAGGTATTTGTGCATTACTGCTGCTACCTACCTCAGGTTAAACACCAATTCCTAATGTGGCTCTGCTCTGGACTATTAGGGCAGCACCCTAGGAAAAGGAACACAGTTGTCAGAGAGAAACCAAAGAGAAAAGTAGGTTGTGCTTGAGAAGGAGCTGTTAGAAATTTAAACTAGTACATCAGTTATGGTTCAAAGGATAATTCTGATGGTACTTCCTGACCCTAGAACCCATGAGCCCCTTGATGTGTGTCTTCCAACTTTGCCAAAGGAGGAAAGAAACTTTTGGAACTGATTAGAGACAAAATCATTCTTTCCTAAGTCTTCCCAATATATTTAACTATGTAACACTTTGGATATAAATAGAAAAATAATTCAATTAATAGGCAGTTTAAGATACTAGTAATAGTTCTGTGCCCTACATATAATGAGGTTGCTACTGCAAATTGTCATTTGTACTTCCTGGCAATGCCATGTGGCTCCAGATAAACCTTTTCTGTGACCTGATCAGCCAAACTCCCAGTATATCTGTATTTGCTGGGCAGTTCTGAGAATTGATCCAGATGCACTTTTTGCTGGTAATCACAGAGTTTTGTAAGGATCTGTAGCACAAAAGCAAGTTTATGTACGCTAGAGATAAAGTTCAATTCTACACATGGATATTTGTCAACTGTGGCTTGTAGGTGTTTGGCTCTGCTGACAAGGCCTGACAGAACTTCATCTAATCTAGGATGGAGATGTGCTTTGAGCAGGTGGTTTGACAAAATTGCCTCCAGACAACTTTTCCAGGTGAAATTGCTCAGTGACTATAATCTGTGCAGCCAAGATACACAGTAAGCTCCGGCCATTTATTGTAAGGGCACATGGACAGGTGACCACAGCACTTTGCTGAAAAACTTCCTAGTGCTCAGTTTCCAGGTTTCTGTATATGTGGTTTGGGGGGTTTTTTGGTTTGTTTTTGTTTGGGTGGCTTTTTTTTGTGTGTGTGTGGAATTTGTGTTTGTTTGTTTGTTTTTAAAAGGAGATAGAAAGTACCTCTTCCCCAAGACACCCCTCAACATCTGACTGCTTGCAGCACTTTTCCATCATGGCAGTGAAGCCCCCAGCAATTGTCTTTAGTTGTTCTTCTGTCATCTGGGGTTTGCGCTTGATGAGGTTGACGAGCAATCTGAAAACAGAGCCACAAGAAACAATTAATCTTGCCTGCTCTAGTCAGAGTCCTGCTTTACAAGGCACTATTCCCCCCAGGCACAGCTCATTTGAGGGGTTTTTTGTCATGCCTAGATGAGCCCTGTGCCTGCTGGTGACTCCAAGCTCCCAGTCTAACAGAACCATCTGTTTCTTTTGTGTTAGCTCAGTTACAGCTGGGTAAAAACTTAGGGAGATGATCTGTATGTCATCTTAATTAAGTACATCTCAAGATTTGCACTGGCAGTGGGCCTTGATGAAACTGGTCAGTTAAAAGAGTGATTTTAAGTGAAGAAAAAAAATCTCTTTTGCCTCTTCCAAACTACTTGATGTTGTATGCTGACCAGGTCAGTGCACACACATAGTTCTATCTGGTTTTCTCTGTCACTAGGGGAGCCCCAGTCAGGTTACAAAAGAGGCTGTAGCTTCCTTCTGCTCTCCCCAAAGTGCTACACTTCAAAAGCTTCCCTGCAAGGTATTTCTTGGAGCTTACTTCAGCTGCCCTGCTTCGCGCTCAGCCGGAGGAGCATTGCACATTTTCTCATCAAAATTGAACATCATGGGGTCAAATGGTGGAGGCACGTATTTGGTATCTATGCCCATGGCAGTGAAACATGGTCTCCTTTCAGAGTAGAGTTCATTGCAGCACTGTGAAACCTGGTCATTGATAGGGGTGCTCTCCTGTCTCTTGCACATGTCTTCAATGATGACGGTCAGCTGAAAAGGAAAGGGTGAAGGTTAGTTACATCTTCCAAAAAACACAGCAACTAGGTGATGCTTGTATCAATAGCATAGCTGGAATGTAAACCTGCTGGGATATGGTACATGTTTAACATTTAGAATATATTGGTATTCCTAGACTAAGGTGTTTCTTCATCTGCAAACAGTCTGGGCATTGGGCTACAATCAGTAGGTTTGAGGGTTTTAGGATGCGATTTCGCTTTCCCAAATGCAACCTGCCACAGTCTCAATCGTGGAGCTCTGGGCAGCCTGGTCCAGTGGAAGGTGTCCCTGCTCATGGCAGGATGTTGGAACTGGATGATCTTTAAGGTTCCCTCCAACCCAGGCCATTCTATGGTTCTATGATACCCGATTCTATGATTCTATGAAGTCACTTTTGCTTCCTGAGGGGAAGCCCAGTTTAGCTAAAATTCTCACAAGATACTATCAGATAGCTATTTAGACTCTCACATCCATTAGAAAATGAACAGACTTGGAATTCTGTTAGGTGGATGCTTAGTGTGGTGTTTATGAAAAATCAGTGTGTGTGCTATCTCATCAGAATTCAGTATTTTTGCAAACAGGAAAAATACCCCAAGAGAAGGGAAAAGGATAACTCCATGTACTCACATAGTACTCAGAACAAGACATGCGTTGCTTCTCAGGAAGGTTGCAGCATTTCTTGCCAACAGCTGTCATTTTCTTCCCAATTTCAAGCAAGGTGTCAGTTGATACCTGAGGCATTTTCTTAGTGTAGCGGACCAGAATTCTGACAAAGTCAAATCAAAATGACTGTTAGTAGAGCATTCTTCCAATACAAGCACGTTAGCCCACTGAAGGGAAAATGGAAGTGAAGAACAAATCAATCTGCCCAAAGCAGCCAGTATAATTCATTACACTCCAGAATATTTATCAGGAATCACTCACCCTTTAAGGAAGTCTGCCTCGCCGTGGGTATTGAACAGCTCACAGTTGGTCTTCACAACATCCTCGGTTTCTTTGATGTGCTTGTTCAGTTCCTCTTGCTGAAAACAAGTACAGATTTATTGGAAATATTAGAGCAGGACTTGCTGGTAGCAGTCATACAAATGTGACTTCTGACCACTTCAGAAACCTTAACTACAGAATACTCATATTGCAAGGTTGATCACTTCTGTGTAGCCAAGAGGGTGTAGGCAGGATTTGATTCCCTAGTGGGGCTTAAGTTCTAACAGAAATTACCTTGAAAAAGGCAGCCACATTTTACAAATTTAATTTAAATTAATTACCTGTTGGACTTATTTTCTAAGCAGTGGGGATTTATATTTATTTGTTTAAATCAAGTAAATATTTCAAATTGTTATCAGCCATAAGGGGAACATCTCATGGCCAAAGCTTTCAGGAACTCAACTTATTCTGTGTCTTTTGTGTGACTGAGTTGTGGATCAGACCTAAGCTGAAGTGTCTCTGTGCTGGTCATGCACACTCCCAGCACGATCCATGAGCAGCCATACTCAGTGTATGAGTGGAGCTCAGAGAATAACTGAGCTGTGAATTGTCGGCCTCAGGACAAGCAGAATCACAATTGAGATACAGGAGCATCAGACAGTTGGGTGAGACTACTCTGAAATAATGTGATGTGACAAATTAAATTACTCTGTGATCTGAGATAAGCCTGTATCCTTGCCATGGGCCATGGACTGCTTCGTCTCTCACCAGGACATTAACCTCCCCTGGAATTAGCCTCTCCAAAAGCTTTCTGCCTGCTCTTCTGTAGGAGCTTCTCAACACAATTCTTCTGTGACAGGTACCAACCAAGCATTCTAGTTGTCTGCAAACAAAGCTTTGCACCTACAGCATTTCCGTAGCACTCAGCAGGGTTGTCTGTCTTGCAGCACTTATCCAGGAGTGCTTCGTATCCCTTAGCAATCCTCATGATCAGCTGTGTGGAGAACTCAGGGTGTCTTCGTGAATATTCGTAAACAAACCTGAAAGGCACAGGATCAGACACAGCTCCTGAATAACGTACTTCTTTCATCAGCACAGTGCAGTAATAACAAGGACATTTCCTCAGGTGGACAAAGAGCTTGGAATGCTGTTGGCACTACTTACTCTGACAGGAATGCATCATGGTTTGGCTCATAGCTTTTACACACTTCCTTATCCTGAATGTATTTTTCAACTAGCGAAGGAAGATTGTCAGGTTTGTCGTCAAACTCTGCCTCCATGATGCACTTGGTCTGTTCCACAGCTGGCAGCTCGCAGCAGGGCTTGAGTTTACTTGAGAAAACGGCTTGTTTAGCACACAGAGAGGCCACCAGCTCTGACTGTAAAATTAATACATAAAATCAGACAAGCTATGAAATAATTGAAAGACAGATAATTAATCTGTTCTCTCTGCTTCAGACTCTTTTCACTCAGGTCACTTATTTACTTAGCACTTTGGTAAAAAAATGCTGTCTTCACACAAAGAGAAATAACTGGGGCATGTGCAGGGTGAGTGGTTCCCTCCGTGATCCTAGACACTCTGAAACCCAAACTCTGGAAAGCCAGGGCACATCACTGAGTGCTCTGTCACAAGGATGCCTGATGCATCTTGTAAGTCCTGACAAGATGCCCAGCTCTGATAGAGGACAACATGTGGTATAACCCCAGAGCGCTCGAACGAGCTGGGTCAACAAGTGTCCAAGTTTGAGTCAGCCAGACAATAATGAAATCATCTCACTATTGCAGAGGTTTGTTAATCTGTTCTCTGGTATTCATTGGCACTACAGGAAGGCTGGATTAGTGGCAGTACTCTTGACAGGACTGGAGAAAAAAACTGCAGCCTTTTTGCCTCTGCTTTTTTTCCCCCTATATTTATGATTGAGTTGAAGTGAATACATACCATCAAACAACCTCCCTGTTAAATATTCTGATTTTGACCAAACACACTGGATAAAGTTTAAGTCATAGGGCTTCTTGTCCCTATGATTAGGCAGGGCTAGATCCAAAGCTGGGCCAAAACCTGCTTCCAGTAAGAGTCAACTGTGCTGGTCCTGAGCTTTTCAGTGCTTGAGGAACCTTTCAGCAGTGCTGAGTACAAGTGTAAGTTCCCTGGACTGTGAATGTGTAGCTGCACAAATTACTATATTTCTAAACATTTTTCAAATATGTCAACGTTGTTTTAAAGCAGTGAGCTCACCCAGTCATCTACACATTCCACCATGTCCCCATCACAGCACTCTTTGTGGACATCTGTCACTTCGTGGACCATCTTAACAAGTTCTGCAAATGGAGCCTTGGGGTACTTCTGGCTCATACGAACAAGTTTACTGCATAGAAAAGGAGAAAAAGACACTTGTTTTAAAGCACTGTAGGGAACAGAAACCTTGCAAGTCACTAACACATGATAAGGTAGGTTAGGATTGTTTCAAGAAAATACTCATTCTTCTCATCCAATTTCTGGTGGCTAAAGGAAAAAAGGGGCATCAACATCTGCACAAGTAAAGCCAGCAAGGGGCAAGTCTGTGGTTCTTCTGTTCTGCCTGAACTGTAAGAATCACACGTAGTATTCCCCATCACTGTTGAGCAACTGGTCAGTGCTCCAAATTGCTTGGCACAGATAGATGTAGTCCTGATTATACCTTTAAATGAAAGCTGACTATGTCTGTAAAATAATCCCAGTCAATGTTAATGTATCAGACTGGCCACAGAATCAAAGCACCTCTCTGTGCCCCAACAGCTGATCCAGTTATTAAATTGTAAAAGCTTTTCTATATCTTACAAGCAAATGTTTTAACAACTGGGATTCTGCCAAATCTGACTTTTTGGTTGGTTTAAGGTTCGAACTAGCAGCTTACTCTGCTGAGAAGTGTTGTGTCCATCACTGAAACCTGTAGGCACTGGAATGGGGTACAGCTTTGGCAAAAGTGTGGATTAAGAGTACCCTGTGATCTCTGGTTCTGAGGGACATTCCAACATTTAATTCTCCATCTTCTGGACTGGTTCCAGAGATAGTTTAATTGCTCTGCAATTTTCACAGCTGAGCTTTTCCTAGGTCTCTCTCACAGGCTGACAAGCCAACATTTTATCAAAAAAAGTGATGGCAACTTACCTTGCTTGGAAAGTCCTCTCACCATACTTGTGGAGGATTCTACATCCATGCTGCTGGTGCACATTTATCTTCTTGGCTCTTTCCTTGATGACAGCTGCCTGTGGTAACAGGACACACATTGTCACATTAAACTGTTTACATCCAATGGATAGGATTAATCCTGACCTGTCTCTCCAAGTTCTTCATGCAAAGCTTTGCATGAACAGGAAAATTCTGCCTGTTTCTCACTCAGTTGCTTAGTGTTTATCCACAGAGACAAAGCTGCTGTACCTTTTCATCCAAGCAAGCACCAACATCACTCTCTGGGCAGCAGGTTTTAAGTGCATTTTCATACTCAGCAGCCAGACCCAGGATTGCTGGGGCGTGCAGGAAGGGGTTTCTTCTTGCAACAGTATAGACAAAACTAGAAGGAAAAGGGAAGCATTAGTTCCATGTTCCAGTGACAACAGCAAATGGCCTTAAACCTCTTGCAACTTCTCTAACTTTTTTTCTAGTTTAGAAATTTACTTTAGAAATCTAGTTTAGCAATCTGCTTTTAGACATAATGCTTTAGACATTATGACATTTAGACATAATGCTTGCTGATTGGAAATGCTCTGCTAAATCCCACCCTTCCCAAGGCAGGACTCAGTAACTGTCAGGGAAGGGTGAACTCCTGATGTTGTCAGACATCTGGTTTGATGGCCATCTGCTTTTTTAAAATGTGTTGTCAAATATTTGAAAGTTCTGGTTTTTAGTATGAAAAATTCATCTACGGCCCTTTCACCAACATTTTTTTGCCAATTTTTATTCTTTTCACTCTTATCTTTCCTCATTTTTGCCAATTACACCAAGAGTAGTGGGAAGCTGGAGCAAATAAGTTATTAAATCAGTATTGGAAACACCATAATTTTTCAGCAGGTTTGGGGAAGAAAGGTCATGCAAGTTGTATATAATGTGATCCTTAACCCCTGTTGGGAATGCAAAAACCTGATCTTGCATGAAATGATAAAATGTGATCAGGGTAAGAAAGCACCAGTGGCCATTTTCCTTACTTTCCCAGGAGCTGCACCCGATGGTCCTTGTACTCGTTGCAGATCACGTCAGCAGCTGGTCTCTGGTAGGGTGCAATGAAGTCTGGTTGCTGAACTTTGAAAGACAGGAAGCACTGGTTTCTTTCGGGATCAGCTTTACCACAGCAGTCAGCCATGTCACCGTATGAGTCGCGGAGCTTTTCCACTTGGCAGATTTCATCCAGGAAAACGGTGGGCTGTAAAGGGAGATGTGAGGGTCAGAACTAGTGCTTATACATAGACAGTGCAATGTATTGGCAGTTTATCTGCAAAAGAAAAGCCAGGCTGAATAATAAATACATTTTTACTGAAGAAGATTTAGACCATAAATCAAATTAGTCTACTGTTTTTCATTAATTTCATAAAATTTTATTTTATGTAGTCCAATATCAGAACGGTTTCAGTGCTTTACTGAAAGAAGTTAATTATAATTTAAAATACTCTATGCAAGACAGTGATCTCCTTTTACTTATAATCTGACTAAACTGAATTTTCAGATGAATTGAAGCAGGATTTGATGAAAACCTTGAGGGAGAACTTATGTCTAGCTCAAAGTATTAGATGTCCAGCAATCCTAAATACCTGGAAACTTCTTTTGTTACCTCATTTTAGAGGAATTTTTTTAAACTCTCATAAACTAAATGCCTTAAATTAGCACACACACCTTTTCAAGTCATCCCAGTGTGAAAATCACACACTTGGGTCACTTTAATACCTAGAATTAGGCCTGTACTTCACAGCTAGGGTTTTGTACTTAGTGCTACCATTTATTTTCAGGCAATGTGCCAAAGTGTGGTATTTGGTATCCAACATAGGGATCCATGGATCATTAGGCACTTCTTAAAGGCAGAGGTTTAAAACCTGACAAAACCAAATTCTTTGTTTAAGCACTAAGATCTGAGCACTGGCCTGTGACAACAGCCACACCAGAAAGGTTCAGGTAAGTCCTCAAGGAGGGTGATGGTGGCAGCTCCACAGAGAGAGGAGAAATACAGCAGTGAAGGGTTTGCTGCCTACCAGTGGTTTTGAGCACTCGGGAGCGTCCTCGTTGGCCACGCACTTATGTGCCAAATCAACAACATCCTTCACCAGCTTAGACAGTCCTTCGTAGGAGCATCTCTGGAGGTACTGGGCAAATGTGATCATGGCCCTGAAACACAAGGCACAGTTTGGAATATGAGACTGAGAAACGTCAGGCAGTATTTTCAAGGTGCCTCTGAATTGAACTGGTTTGTTCAAATGACGTGCACAAAGGTTAACCAGAATACCTTGCAGAGCATAGTGCCAGATCCCACATCTGTCTTGCTCTCTCCTTTCTGAACATGTTTTTTAACCCTCCCAATAACCTTTTTACCTTCCCATTAAAAGAAGTCTTGAATATTAAATTATGAACAAACCAGAAAAGACTGTGATCATAAATGCCATGACCTAAGCTGGATTTGGCCACTGTTACGAATTACAATCTTCAGACTGCCTTCTGTCAGCACTTAGGTGTCTGTCAGGGCCCTCTGTCTTTTCCAAAACTAGTTTCCAATGAAGATCACTAAATTGTCTCAGAAAGCCTGTCACAGCCTTGTTTTTTGAGGTTAGTGGTTTGTTTGTGGGTTTTTTTCTGGCAATATTGCCAATGCAGTATAATTTCTCTTCATTCTAGGCATATCAAACCTGTATTCCTCATGCCTATTTTATTTTCAGAGAAGGAGCAGAAGTTTTTTTCACAAGGTTTGCAAGGAGCTCTTTTCCCAGAGAGCAAGAAAGTCATTGTGATGTTTGCAGGTCTTAAAATATTTCTAGGTTTTGCATTTTGCACTACCAGTAAAAGGCTAAGTCAGTGTTTCAGTGAGACATACACACCCCCTGTGAGCTCATACAGTGTGTCTTACTCTCCCTTTTTGGTGCAATATCAAGAGAGACAAAAAAACAAATCAGAAGGTGGAAGCTGAATGTTCACTTACACTGCCTTAAATGTCTCTTCCTTCAGGTCATTGAAGCGGTGGGCAATCGGACTCTTGTGGTCTAGGAAGAAAAACAAAGGGAGCAGTGATGCTCACTGTCACACTGGCTGTGCTGGACCCTGAGAAATATATTCTGGGCACCATGGGCAAGATTTTCACAAGTGTTCAGTATTCACCCGACTTTTATATTTAAAAACTTAAGAAATTGAACTTTGTCTTGTTCATTGGTCTACAGGTACCTAACTCTTAGGTTTGCTTCTCTTTCTGAGGGAACCCAAGCCTGTGATTTTTATGGTCCTAATAGAATATTTACCTCTGTAAGCAGCTAATTAATTCAGATATTCAAAATTACTGTTGGGGCTTAATATTTAGGGTTAGCAGAGGTGTCCTTTGGGTAACCACCACCCCCAGATGCTGCAAATAAAACAGTGCAGTTGCAGTTTGATTAGAGCAAACCTTCTTCCTCTGAATGCTAAGTTATTAACTTGTCAAAAGACAGAACTTCCGAAAGCAAAAGGAGTGCAGCTCCTTTTTCCATGCTTGAACAGATCCTGACTCATTTACATCTGTTCATGCACCACACAGATGTTGCCAAGGGATGGCACCACACTTACTCACCCAGTTCAGTTGTCCTAAGTGTCCTACCCATCTCCCCACTGTCTCTTAATTTATTTTCTTTTCTAGTCAATCATATTTTTCTTTTCAATATAGATCAAGATCCCACGAATTGTTTGTGAAACCATATTCAAGACATTAAATTGATAGAACAAAGACTTCCAAGAGAACTAATTAATCCTTTCTTACCTGCATCTCGTGCAGTTCTTTGCAGATTCCTGGATCTGGCAGAGCTCAGGAGAAGAATTAATGAAATTAATGTTAGCCACTTCATGGTTTCAGATTATGATGTGAGCAAAGTTGCTCAAAAATGCTAGGACGATTGAAGGAAGAGCATTTGCTTATATACCTTTCACTACCTGTGCTTGTAAAATATTAACCCTTGAGCTGGCATTTGTGGCTTGCCATTTGGCCTGAAGAAGATTACGAAACTTCACCTTGACAAAAAATTAATTTGATATTAGTTATTTATTCTGTGTTGTTACTATGGGCCTTTTCGTCCTGAAGAGGTTGAACCTCCCAGCACCCAAAAAAAGATAAAGTTTTGCGTAAATTTCCTTATCAAATGACAAACAAGGAGTTCAAGGCATCAGACAAAAAGGTCATCAGGACTAATCCTATAGACTTTTTTTTTTTGCTACTATTTGTTCAAAAGCAAAGCATGTTGGTATTGTATAGCAACAGTGCACCCAGAGAGGACTCGGTCCACTTGAAATTAGAGAATTTTAATTTTAAATCACTTTGTTGAGATGAGCTTGCTAATCTAGACAGTTATGGCTGATTTGAGCACCTGAATTTGTTAGGTCCTGCTCTGGTTTTCCCTGGGTATTGCTGTTCGCTGATATCCAGAAAACAGCCAAACACATGGGTAAACATATGCAAGAGCTCTAATTTTCAGAATTCTAGCAATTTCTAATTTGTACTGACATCCTCCCAAGAATAATCTCTTAATTAAACATTGCTCTCATCTCTGGAAAATTTCCCATTGATTAGTCAGTAACTTAGAAGATCAGACACAGGAAAAATGTGCAGTTTGCACAGATCCACAGGACATGAAATAAATCAAAATTACTTTTCTAGGACACCCAGTGAGATGCTTCAAAAATTCCCAAACGAGTACAAGGTTGTATCTTTACTGAGTACAAAGTGATGTAGCTTCCCAGACTACGATTTATTTTATTTAATTTATGTCCCCAGTGTGTGAATATCAACCCACACAACTGGAGGTTGTGTGCTGCCTTGCAACTCTGCTTTGTGAGTACCCACGTGGTAGAGCTGAGCATGTAATCTCCAAATTCTTCCTTGGTCTTTAAGGTTCCCTTTGTTCACTCTGTTTTTCTTCCTCAGGTGGGCAGTTCTGCCATAACTCTGAATTAATCCTAGTGGGGATAGTAAGAACAATTCCATGAATGGTTTTCTGGAAATTTGACTAAGTAAGTACATGCATAATCCTTCCTTTTGTTTCTGAGTGTGAGCTTTTAAAGACATTTGAAATAAAGCAAATGACATGTCTAAGCTCAAAATATTTGCAGGCAGTTTTCATTCAGGAAAATGCCTAGGCAATACATCTTGTGTTGCAGAAAGGCTGTTCTTTTCTCCAGGAATAACCACAAAAAACTGAGATGAGTTCACAGAATAGTTTCATACAATGAGATTTCTACAGTCTGCTGTTCTTCCAAAAAAATTCTGCATTTTCCTAAGTCTGCACCTGATACTTTTGTAGGTGAAAAGCAGCATTCTGTTAGTGATTTAAATGAACAAGGCTCTATTTTGGGAGTTAAAAGGTTATTTGGATAACTCTTACATGAAGGATGGTGCAGGAAAGCCAGGTTGGCAGAAGAGCAGCATTAGAAATGTCATAATGTTAGACATTGTGATTGCTTTCAGGTGGTTGTAGCAGAATCCCACATTTCTGGAGAATTCTGGCAACTGATGAACACTCTGGGCCTTTCAGCTCTGGGCTGGTTTAGACTAACAAAAGATAGGGAAAGAACTTGTTAATTCAGCATGTAATTATTTTACTGACCATATCCCTCTGTGAGAGAAGAGTCATCTCCTTTCAAATCTTAAGAGAGCATTCAGTGGACAAAAACACACATTTAGGTATTTTGTGGATATCTAAAAGGCAGTAAAAAACTGTGGTATTGATGAATGATGTCTTAGTACAGCTCTTGAGATGCTGTCAGGCTGTACCAAAGAAGTCTCCAGAAAACTACAGCTAAGGGCTGGGAGAGCAAAGCTGAAATTCAGCACCACAATTGCAGAGTTGCATCCTGAAAGCTCTCTGGAATTTTCCCTTGCAGCATTGTGCAGTGTTAGCAAGAACACTCCTGGTTCCCTGGAGTTAATATGTAAGTTTGGAATACAGGGTCCATGTTTATTTCTAGATATCTTCTGTTGTCTGTCCTGTGCTTCATGCCAGTGGTTCCCATAACTGCTGAGAGCTGAACTCCAATGCTTATGTTTGTTTAACAATATTAAATAGTATACTGAGTTTCTTGTTGCTCAGTACTTTCATACTGCTTTGAGTTCACTCCAACAAAGTTGTCCTGGTGTTAGAAAAAGGGATTTATAAATTGCATTTTAGGATAATCCATTTTCACACTCATTTATACCTAAAGTTACATATGATAACTAGTTTTATTCCAGGTGTGGGGGACCAAAGGACAATAATTCCAAGAGTAATTGACTTGGAAATAAAAAGGATGAATACTTTTTAAATATTTCATCATACTAACCTGTGCAAAGTGGAAGAGTAGAAACAAAGTGGACTGAGATGTACTAATATGGACTAAGGCTCTTGAGAAACAAATGTGATTGTAAGAACAGCTGTCAGAGCCCTTTTGGGAAGTAAGTACTTCTCAAAATAATCTCTCACAGCCCAAAGGACATCAAGAAACCCTTTACTTTTGTGGCCCTCCATTTTATTTACTGCTGTTTCTTGCTTTTTTTCAAGACCTCTAGTTCTGTTTGTGGGATTGGACCCTGGGGCACACACCAAACCTAGAGACAAGACATTCCTGTGCCAGTATCTGCAGTGAGTAGCTATTTTTTCAGTGACTGTAATGATTAGTATATTTCTAAATAAATGTCTAGCTCTGGACACATGAACACAGGTATCAGACATTGCTTTGTTTTCCTGCTCTGGTGCAGGATGTTTGCCATTCTTATCACTGATGTCTGGCTCCTGTGCAGAACGAGTCAAACATCTCAGATATATGCCTTTTGTTTGAACAGAGATGGACTCATCAATACAAAACAAAGACAGGAGATCACTGTGGCAGAGCAGGCAGAGACCTGCTTAGGTGTAGCTAATAGCATTCCATGTCAGGTGTATCTCATGGGCATATCATCAGTGAGTTCTGATACTCAGCTGTGCTAGTGCTGTTGAGTTCCTGATCATTCAAATAAGGATTTTTGAATCGACAAGAATGACTGTTCTTGCTGATCTGTGCACCTGATTCCTGGGCCATTGTAGCATCCCTACCCCTTTGTCTCACAAGTCCACCCTTTTCCTTATTAATGACCATTTGCCAAAATCATTCTTTGGCAGCAGGAACAAGAAGAGTTTTGCTTTGCCTATTAAACATTCAATTGCCTGAATATATCCAAATATACAGCCTTCAGTGCTTTATGAGGTTATCAATTCTGAGACTTCTCAGAACTTGTCTCTACTTTCTATGTCCCTATGACATTTTGCTCTGCCAGTTCAAGTAGGTAATCTACAAGATAACCGAGTATTGGCTTCATCTATTGTCCATTTCTAAGGTCCCTCAACAAAAATCAGTTATGTCTTGGTATGGGCCTATCTAACTGTTGTATCTAAATACAAAATAGATGGGGGAAAGAAATACTCGAGGTGCAGCATTGCTGTATTCAGAAGTCCTTCTCAGGAATATTTTTTTCTTCATTGTTTCTTATAATAATAAGATAATTATTGATAATTGCCTTTGATAATTGTCTCTGGAACTGAAATTGTTGCGATGCTGTGATTGGTTTGGCTCATGATAGGACTATTGGTGGAGATCTTTTTTTCTTCCTCTTACATAAGTCCCAGAGAGCTTTGGAATCCAGTGCATTCACTTGTGCCCTAGAAACTTTTTGGCACTCAGTTTCCAATCTCTGTGCTGCTCTGCTATGCTACCTGATGGCCTTTGTCAGCAGAGAAGAGCCATTTAATATGGTACAGTCAAGAGCCAAAGCTGAAAACTTCTGTTTGGCAAGAGATTGTTAATATTTCTTCCCTAAGTTTGATGTGCTTCAGCTTTAGCAATAAAAGAAATAATGAAAACTTTTGAGGAACATCAGGAAATGTATAGAGCATCCTTTTGCTTTGAATTTCTTTAGGCTGTTGATCCATAATCTTCTGTTTTTGAAAAAAATATGGCTACAGACTTTTTTGTAACTATAAGCAGGTGTATTTGCTAAAATCAGAAATAAGCATGTGTAAAATGAGCTAATGATTCTGGGAGCCACTGGGTTTGCTCTCAACTTGAAACACTTTTTTAAGAGTTGAAAAAAAATCCTGTATGTCTAGAGGGGCTGTAGGACTTGTGGAAATTTTTTGCCATTCTGCAGCTGCCCCCCACAATGTCACTGCATCACCTGGCAGTGCTGACACTCTTACTTGCCTTATTTTTTATTTTTCATGTAGTTTTATTGTAAACTTAGGGGTTTCCCATCCTGGCCTAAAAACTGCCAGGCTGGTAAATATTTTCTCCTTCATGTCCATCTCCATAGAAACAGAATCTGTGTTACTGCTGTAATTGTTCTCTTGTGCTGTTTTTCTGTTAGGCCCTTGGGGTTTTTTTTGTTGGTTTCTTTCTTGGGAAGATCCTAATTCATCTCTTTGAGACAAGCTGTAAATGCTCAAGTGTTAAGGAGATAAAGGGAGTGATTCTTTTCTCAGCCTTTCCTTTATTCCTGAGCAAATGATTTCTTAAGATAAAGCTCTCAGAACTTTGAAAAATGAAAAGATAGTAATTTTAAATGAAGTCCTGGAGCAAGAATAGCATTTCCCACCTGGAATATCCCCTACTGTCTTTGGAATTTCTTTAGCTCAGTGTCAGGGCCTGAGGTGGCACCTCTGCAGGAGAAGAAAAGTTTGCAGAGCCATTTTTAGGTCCTTGTTACTGGAGCAGGCAGTACAAGACATTTTAAATGTTGGCACTGCCATTTACTTGCTGACATAAAAGGATAGTCCACTTCTGCATATTATGCTGCAATTATGAATTCTGAGGCTCCACAAATGAAATGTGAAGCATCCTTTCCCCACAAGTGAAATCCAAAGGCAAGGTGAAATATTTCCACATTTCTGCTGTAGCCTGTGAAACAAAATTCAGTTAGTCAAATGCAAGTACCTGTACTTTTCTGTTGTCAAAATCAATTGTTTTTTCAAGCAGCATTCAAACAGACCACATTTATTAGGTGAGCTCTGGCTTGTAGTTCCAGATTCAGTACTTCCTTCAATGTAAATCAGATTGCCAGTGAGATTACTAGGATGTAATAATCTCTTAGAAGAGAACTGGATTTGCAGCAGCAGCAGCAACAAAAGATGGCCTTTCTTCAGGTTGCTGTTTTCCTTCCCTTGTTCTCCTTTACCTGGGTTTCTTGCACTATGACATGTAGTATTGGAAACCTGGGATTCCCAGAGTTAAGGAAGTGACTAGAAATAATACAAAACTGAGGAAATGTTGCTTGATTTGTTTCTTTTTCTTTAGAGTAGTGCTTATAAACTCTGATTTTTGAAGAGGTGTATAATTGGGGTTTGAAATTCAGTGTCTCTGAATTTGAGGACCTTCAGGAAGACCTGATTTTAGAAGAAAGGTTCCTCAGTACATTCCCAAGAAACTTTTGTCAGAGACCAAAAATTGTGATTGAACTTAGCAAAGAGCTGTATGGTTCATGTGGTTCTCTTAAATAAGTTACCAAAAGATTGGTACATACAACAGAGGAACTAAAGAGATCTATCAGGTAGATCTGTGGCTGTGCAAAGCCCAGATGGCTGTCATGTTAGGTTTGGGGTTTTTTTTAATTTGACCACTAAACTGAGATTCCTTCTCAAGCCATGCAAAGAAATATTAACAAACTCTTTGCACATGAAGCTTCTGGTGTTGTCTTTTGGATCAATTAGGCAGAGGCTACATTCCCAAGGGCATTCCTCTGTGGTGCTCTCTAACCCCATGCTGACAGTCCTTGACATTTGCTTTCTGCCAAAGGCCTTTTTTGCTTATATCAACAGTGCTTCAATATTGCCAGCCAGGCATATATCCACAGGTCTCAAAAATAACTCAGGAAATTCAATGATAACAATTAATGTAGTAGTACCCTTCTCTGGTACCTTCACTTTAGTGTGAACTTGGGTTTCTGACTTTGCTCCTTGACTCTGGAAAACAGCGTGGATGTCAAGGCACTGGAGCTATTCCCAGAGCAAAGAAGCTGAAGGCTTCCCTTAAAGTCAGTGCAGATCTAGGCAGATTCCTGGCTCCCTGAACTGGGAGATTGGAAGCTGGGCAATTTTTCCCAGTTCCTGCTGACAGAGAGGATAGCTTAGTGCTAAGTCAAGACTGAGGACACTGTTCCTGGTGAGCCCAGGAAGCCTTTAATTGCTGAGAGTCTGATATGAACACAGGTCTTATGGCTTCTGAGGTCCTGCTGTACTGTTAGGCACTGCAGCCTCTTTGCTGTCAGCAAGGAGGAGTTTTAGGATGGATCCTTTGACATCCCAGAATACAAATGTTCTTGTATCAGTTGACAGAAATCTTTCAAGTACAGAGCCTGACCTCCCTGCAGGTTTGTCAGAGCCAATATGGAAATATAACTATGGATCTTATGAAAGTTTATCAGTACTCTGATGTTTCCACTGAAACATTTTGGATTCAGTTAATTTACATGCTTTATTGGTGCACTTGCCAGTGCTGGGCTATTGGTTGGATTTGATGATCATGAAGGGACCAGTTTGGTCAGGCACAATATGCCCTTAGAGGAGCTGTCCTGGATCACTCCTCTGTCTTGCATGTGCCTCAGTATTGCTCCCATTAAGATCTGCTCCAAGATCCTCCCTGGCACAGAGGTAAGGCTCACCGGTCTATAGTTCCATGGGTCTTGCTTTCTACCCCTCTTATAAAAAATTTCCCTTTTCCCAGTCACTGGGGACTTCACCTGATGGCTGTGACTGTTCCAAGATGATGGAGAGTGGCTTGGACACCACATCAGCTGTTCCCCCAGGACCTTGGAATGTGTGTCATCAGAGACTCATGGCTATAGAATGTTCCATGTCATTCCCACTATCACAAAACAGAAACTCCACTGACATGGGCTTAGGTTATTTTGCCTGTCCACCCACAAGAAGAAAACTTCACACTCAAACTGGTCATAAAATTCAATCCAGAACAACATAACATCGGAATTCAAAATTATTGTGTGGAGAAATTGAAATTGGAACTAGGCTTGCCAAGGAACTTCTGTGAATTATGTTAGTTAGTTAGTGTTCAAAGAAAAGGAAGATTATTCCATTTGATTATTTGTTATCAGCTAGGCAACCTATCTGCTTCCCCTTCTGAAAGGAAAATCAGATTTTCCCTTCCTGCTTTTAGTATATGACTGCACTTTAGACAGAGACTCCTGTCTCTTGGGCACTGATATTGCTTAAGGAGCTTTTTGGCAACTCACTAAGGTTACCAGGTCCTCTGTGTTGGATTTTGAAATATATTCGGTTGGCCTAATTCTGGTAATGTCAAAGTCAGTGCCAAATGTTGTCTGATTTTTCTGGAAAGCAAGCTCGATAAAAGGGAGGTTATCTTGGATCTTTCCACACAGATTTTCAACCCTCCCTACAATATTTTAAGGAAGTTATTTCACATCAAATCACAGCAATGTTTTTAGATTGGTTAGTGGATGAGTGGGACATGTACCTGCAAAAGCAGGTCTAGCTCAGGTAGTATCGAGATGACTCTAAGAATGATGTTCAAGCCTAACCTTTTCCTAAATGAGAGTTCTGAGAGGGGAAGCTGTGGTGTGTCCTGAATAAACGGGTATCAGCATTCCATAAGAACTAGCCCGATGAAGCATTTTCCAAGCTCTCAGGCAGAAGAAATATGCCATCTACTGTTAGCAAAACTATTTGCACAAAAAGGCCCTAGACCTCAAAACTGCGAAGAATTTTGTGTTCCTGTGGGCAAAGAAAGTGACAATCGTAGAGAATTGCCACAATGATGTGTCTAAAAATAGAGATAAGCCCTCACTGGGGTTGGATTAATAATGGAGAGAAAACTCGGCTTGTTGATTAGTAATGATGTGTGATTTATTTGGTGCTCTTATTGCATATTATTTGTGTAGTGCTTATGGAGGCACTTTTCTTGAAGAATATTTGCCTTGTTCTAAGGGAGTCTTTTTAAATTAAAGAAATGCATCAGAAATACAGAATGTGAGAAGTTCCTTAAGATAAGATGTAATGTTGATAAAGCACTCCAAAAATCTGGACTGCTTTTCTGGCTTGTTACAGTCAGTATCTAACAAAGAGATGCGCAGAATTTGGAATTAGGGTACATAAATGCTACATGTAAAGTGCTTTGCTGAATCCAAGTTTAACACTCACTAAAATTAAGCAGCATTTAAGAGCTTTGGTGTACATGGAAACTGTAGTAATGTCTGAAGGTAAGCCTGGTAATTTGTATTCAAACTGAGTTCTGGAAAGTTAAATATTGGAAATTATTATATTGTCTATAATTGAAAATTGCACTCCTGAGAAACAGAGTTGAGGCTGTGCATCAAAATTCATGAATGAGAATAAAAGATCCAGATTTACCTTTCAAGACATTCATAGGCTCACTCACCAGACAGTTCTAAGTTTGACATTTGAGATATTTTAAAAAGCATAAATGAAATCAGAGTCATAAAGAAGAAAGTAAGAGGATAATAAGTGACAAAAAGAAAATTCACCCCACCAGCACTTTTTCTCTTTATTGAAAAGGTCACTAATTGAGGAACACAGAGCTATTCATGGTAGCTCCTAACTTTGTAACTAGCTAGCAATAAAGTCAATGGCATTGTAAATGCCACACACAGATAGAAATACTTGTTTAGCTGGAAATAAATGACACACAAAATAATCACTTAATATTTACTTGTCCACTAAAAAAAATTTCAGGACATACATATTTAAGAATCAAATGCTTTAGTAAAATTTAATTTCCAAAGCATTGGAAAGAATTAAAATCAGAGTAGTTTTAGCTGCAGGTGTGTTGCCGGCTTTTAGCTCCACCTGCTGTGTGCAACTGAAATAACAGGAACACTGAGCTCTGTTTTTAAAAAAACCCTGTCCCAAGGGCCCCTAAAGCAGAGCAGGAACCCACAATATGTAGCTGATAAGTGAAACAGCACACAGCGTGCAAGTGTGAGGGCAGGTTCTGTTTGAAAACAGAGGCTCCAAAGGACCTTGGGGGTTAGGGAATTTTAGACCATCAAAAACTTGTAGACAGTTTTTCTAGTTCTTCTTTGAACTGTAAAATATCTTTTTTCACTTTAAGTGCCTTTCTGAGATATCAAAGGCATTTCTTACACTGCCTTCACTGAATCCAAGGTCTTACAAAGTTTTACACAGAGATTCCCACTCCCCTTCTTATCCCGAGATAAAACTACCCCCAGAGGATAAATATTTTCAAGGCACACTCTATATGAGGAGAGAAAACGCAGCCTGAGCCTTGCTCTGCATGCCAGCAGAAGGCTGCTTGCATAGAGATCTTCCAAGCTGCTCCAGGAGAAGCCGTTTTAAGGACTAATTTCAGAACTAATCAATTGTTTGCTTAAAAAAGTGGTTACTATAGAAATTATCATTATGGATTGGCTGACCCAGGTAAAACACAAAGTGTAAGAAATGTTGATCCTTCTAGCTGACTTTTGTGCAGCCTACAACTGATGCTGCCTTAAATGTCAGCAGTTAAAAAAGGAGAAAAAAACAACCAGCAAAACATTAATTTGACAAGTAAACTTTAATATTCAAATATAGGTGATGCGGCTTTGGCTTGAGAGGTCTCATTTAGAGTTTTGGGTTACAGATCCCTTATACATGAAATACACAAAAAAATGCACTTTATCTTATGATTTGTGCTGCCTTTGTTTTATCTTACCCGTGATGACACTTGAAGAGAATGAGAAAGAATCCAGAATCTTGTCCAGATGCCCTTTGCCTCTATTTGCCATGGTGTTTTTCAGGTTTATACTCACAAAGGATAATAATTTTGAAAGCTTATCAAGCAAATTAGGAGCCTGAAACACACCTTTGGAATAATTTATGCATGTTAAAATGTAAGGATCACAGAGTGCTAACGCATTTTAGGATTTCAAGTACTTAAGCCATTTCTTAACTAAGACTCCCAAAGTACTAAATATATTATAGAACAGATGTTTTTTAACGGAGCACTAGCAGATTTATTAATTGAATCACTTGTTGAAAGGTTTTGCTTTCTGGACTTGTTTTTCCTTTCACAGTTCTCCCTGTGAGGAAGTGGTCAAAGCTGGCATGATGTTGTAAGTGTCACTCATAGAAATGCACCGTCAGTATCTGAGAGGACACAAATGATTCACAAGGCACTTGAGCGGGATGTCTGTGTGTTTCCAATGAATTGATCACGGGTAAGGACAGCCAAGGCAAAATCACCTGACTTGCTGCACCAAAGAGGCAGAAGTTGATCCCAAAGGGACTTTCAGACTGGAGGCATTTGAGTGTGAACAGTAATGTAAATTTACCTTCTGCTGTAACTCTAGGCACTTCTCCTGGGCTAGCGCTTCTTCTCTTAAATTCTCCATCTGTCTGGACTGTTTTTATTTTCTTTACTCACAAGGCCACACCACCTGAGATACTCACAGGAAACTCGCTCTATTGAAGAAATACAGATAGTTAAAAAATGTAATTTAAAGCAAATGATATGGCTACATAAAATCTGTTTCATATCATTCTTTTCCATATGCAACTTACTGGGATTAAAAATGAGTGGTTTAGACAGGGCTTAAAATGTGTATCATGGACAACTGCACTTCTCTGAATGTTCAAACGTTTGTGTTCTTTTTCTTCTTTCTCCCTTTGCCTTGGACAGCAGTCATTGCATACCTGCTGAACAACTTCAGTTCTGTTACTCCTGTTTAAAGTAAGTCATGGTGATCTAATTGTAGTTTATCTTACCTCCCATTTCACATGGATCTTCCATGCTAGGCACCAAGGAGGTCTAGTGAGCAAGTCCCTTTGGTATGTGTGTTGAGACGATACAATCTGGGGTTCACAGTTCCCTGAATGATACAAATAAAAACATTCCAGCACATACAGAAGCTGCGAAGATGACAAAACTGTACATATCAAAGACAACGAAAGCATTCAGCAATGAGAATGGCAGGCTTGGGGTTTGGATTAAAGTTTATTTGGATGATCAACTTGTTAGCCTTGTGGAAGTTGTAGCAGTCCTGAGTTCAGGTTAAAAATTCAAGAAGTTATGAACTTTTTTCAGTCCCTGTATTAATTGCAAACAAAAGTCATGTTCCCTTGTTCCCTTGCTTCCTGACCTTGACAATGACAATGCTTCCAGCAGCTGTAAATGAAACTGAAAGCAGATCTTTGAGGCTAATTAAACCACAGCAGAGGTTTCAACACATTGTTTGTCCTGTAGAACTTTTTAAGGACTCTGGCACACAAGGAGACAGTTCCTGAAAGTATTCACTGAATCCAGACCCCAAGCTTTCCCACTACACCTACGGAGTGCTCAGTGGAATGATAAATAACCTAGAGGAAATAGAATAAATACAGAAGCAGAAATCACAGATGAAAGAGATAACAAAGGATTGTCATTTTTCTCCATGTTTAGGAGGGTGGTGAGGCCCTGGCACCTGTTGCCCAGAGAACCTGTGGCTGCCCTGTGCTTGGAAGTGTCCAAGGCCAGGTTGGACAGGGCTTTGAGCAACCTGGGATAATGAAGGGTGTCCTTGCCCATGGCAGGAAGCTGGAACTGGGTGATCTTTAACATCCATTTCAATCCAAACCAGTTTGTGGTTCTATGATTCCATGATTTCCTGCAGCTTTATGCTACCAATAACCCAAGTGTCCAAAGTTAACCAACTTCACAGACTCACCAGGGAAGGAAATGTGTTTTTTAGTTATTACTGCCCTATTTACAGTCTACACTGACTTTTCAGTGATGTGCAATCCATTCCCTAAGAGCCCTGTGTACAGGAAACAGCTATAGGTCATACACCCTTCTGGAAACTGGGACACAAAAAAAAGCTAATTAAAAAATATGGATTCTTTACTCCTTCATTATGTCTTGGTGATTATCATAGTATTTACAAGAATGTTTTAGTTTGGGTTTCTAAAATACAAAGTGCTGGAGAAGTGGCACACCTTCCCATGGTATTCAAACCATCCCAAGATTAGGAGCAGACTTCAGTTAACAGCTTTTGCCCACAACAAAATCAAATCTTATAAGCCCCATGGGTCTAAAACTGAGTTTCTCTGAAGAAGTGCTTTGCTCGCTGTTGCACTTGCAGAATCTCAGAGTCATTTTAGGTTGGGAAACACCTCTGGGACCCTTGAGTCCAACCTGTGATCAAGCTCCAGCTTGTCAACCAGACCAGAGCACCGAGTGCCCTGTCCAGTTGTCTCTTGAACACCTCCAGGGATGGTAACTCCACCCCTTCCCTGAGCAATCCCAGTGCTTGACAACCCTTTCTGAAAATAAATTCTTCATTTCCAACCTCAACCTCCCCTGGCACAACTTGAGGCTTGTTTCTTCTTGTCCTATTGCCTGTGACCTGGGAGCAGAGCCCGACCTCTACCTGGCTGCTCCCTCAGCCGCTCCTCATGATTTCCTCTCTGGATCCGTCCCCAGCTCCACTGCCCTTCTTTGGAAGGGCTCCAGCACAAAAGGCTCAAGCGAGGGTGGCAGGGAGAGGGGGTAACCGGGCTGCTGTGAAATGGAGGAAAAGGACTTGCTCTGCAGTGCCGAATGAGGAGGCGCCACTCTTTGAGCAGAACAGAGGTCACCTCCATAAAAGAAATGGAACAAACAGTCTCCGACAGGCCGCCCTGCCTGTGCCAACACAAGCGGCGCTGCTCACTGCGCTCCATCTGACCCTGGGAGTAGGACACACACAGATAAAATACTACGGCTGCCTTCATTGGCAAGAAGCTGGAGCCTTTCCAAGTCTAGCAACCTGAATGGACGCTTGCAATGAGGTGCGAATGCACCCAGCATCAAAGGCAGATTTGTGATACAAGGTGGCGGAGAGTAACCACAGCCCGAGCTCCGCGGCACAAGCGTTCACTCGAGGCCATTCCCCACCTCACACCAGCCTGGGAAGGGGCAGAGAGAGGGAAGCAAACAGCTCCAAGGGTAAAACCCACCTCTGCAGCCACCCTTCTACAGCATTGTAGGGCTGAGATTACCTATATTCACTTGCAGTTCTCTTTTCTGCCTCTTGTGATGACAACAAATAATACAAGAAATAAATGCTCAATAACATATATGGTATATGTAATTGTAACAAATAACAAAGGTTTAATCTCTGCTTGCACCCCAATAAAAACTAGTAAAAATCAAAGCACTTGCATTCATTTTAATGCCAAAAAAAAAAATAAATTATAAGAGGACAAAAGTATTGTTGTCACTGATCTGCCACCACACATCTCATGCTGGTGTGGTTTGGGATTTCTGTGCAGTCACACCAGGAAGTTGGAGGTAGGTCGCTAGAGTATTCAGTTTATTCCTCCTGGATCACATCAAACTGTCATCTGCTGAGTTATTTATAAAGAAATAAATAATAATATATACATATCTAATATATATAATAATATATATAGACCTTGTACCTGATGATTAATCTTCTGAATTGGAAGGTGAGGAGTCTGTGTCAGTTATTTCCAGCTGACTTGGAAATAATTTAATTTAACAGTGGGGCTCTTACAACCAAGGCAGTCCTTTTATTAAGAACATACAGAGGCATGTATCAGGATGTTTTGGTGGGATTTCAGCAACACAAGGATTTGGGGGGAACTGTGCAGACTCCATGATGAGTGCCAGTTAAGGATTTATTTAAAAAGTAATGTGTGATTTCAGAGGAGCTGCAGATCTGACCAGGGCTCTACAACATCAGCCAAATAAGAAAAACTATCTAAGTAGTCAAATAACATGAGTCTCTTTCTATAAAATATAACCAGAACAGGCATTGTTGGTTTGAAACACCAGTTCCACAACATCCACAGTGTACCAGTGCATAGAGCCATTACTGATCTTCACAACTGTGTGTTTCTGTGATTAATGTTTATTTTCAACAGTTCTAAATGTAAAATGGAAAAAGCCCATTTCTTCAGTGAGGAAGCCACAATTTAAATATTTAACACATTTAACTTATATTTAACTTTGGTTACTGCAGGACTTGGCCTGCCCTAAGGGAGGCAACAGTATTAATATCCTGAGTACACTTTGGGGATGAAAATTGGGGTAGGGGGCCTGAGGGCTGAATCAGGGCATGATGACATATTCAAAGGGTTTCATTAAAGAACTATGATCAAACTGATATGGGCATCTTAATGTTTGTCATTTTTAGTGAAATTGTATGAAAGTTGTTGTAAAACAGGGATTTGGAGGTTCCTCTTAAATGCGGAGCGCCTGGTGGGAGCCAGCTGTGTGGAAGAACACAGACCCCAGAAACACTTAGGCTGGAAAAGACTACCGACTTCAACCTTTGACAGATCACCACTGACTGCCATGTCCAGTCGTTCCTTGGACATCGCTTTTGACTGGAATTCTGCGCTCTGCAGTTTTACTGACCATTACCTTCAGCGATACTCCACCAATTTATCTCCTGATCCTTCTAGCGACGCCCCCAACACCCCCCGCAATTTCTATTATAAGAGGCGTTTGGAGATTGCTTTTTAACGCATATTGTCCGCACTGCGAGAGAGTCCATCTCTTCCGGGCGGAATTGTGAGTGCTGTGGGGTTTCAACGCGGGCCCCCCTCACCCGAGGGGTTTCCCGCCCTGGGCGCGCTCCCTCAGCTCCGCGGGGTCGCGCCGGGCCCTGCGGGGCGACTCGCGGCGGAGGCCGCGCCGAGCTTGCCCGCTGCCCTTACCGAGGCGCAGCGCGCTGAAGGCTGAGGGTGATGACGCAAGCGGCGGTTCCGGCGCCGGGGCGGCGAGCGAGGCGGCGGCGCGGGCGGAAGGGAAGGAAGGCGGCGGGGCGAACGCGGTGTCCGGCCGCCGCCGCCGCGGTGCCGCGCCTGGGAACGGGCAAGGGGCGCGAGGGGAGCGGGAGCGGGCGGCGCGAGGCGGAGGGCGCGAGCGCGCGCCGCGCGAGGGGAGCGCGAGCGGCGCGAGCGGCGGCCGCCGGAAGTATCGCGAGAGTTGGCGCGGCGGCGGCGCCGGCGCTAGAGGTGACCGAGGCAGCGGCGGCCGCGGGCGCCTCCTCCTCTTTTTCCTCCTCCTCCTCCTCCTCCTTCTCCTCCTTTTCCTTCCTCTCCGGCCATGGAGAAGGCGGTCGGCGCGGCGGTAGCGGTGACGGCGGAGGAGGGAGGCGGTGAGGGCGGCGGCGGCGAGGCCGGCAGCGCCACAGCAGGGCCCGGTCCCCCGGAGGGGCCGAGCGGCCCCGCCGCGCCGCCGTCGCCGTGCGGGCCCGGGGCGGCCGGGCTGGTGCGGGTGTGCGACCTCCTGCTGAAGAAGAAGGCGGTGCCGGGCAAGGCGAAGCGCGGCGGGCGGGCGGCCCGGCCGGCCAGCAGCAGCGAGAGCGGCGGCGGCGGCAGCGAGAGCAGCAACAACGGCAGCGACGACGAGGAAGAGGAGGAGGAGGAGGAGGAAGACGAGGAGGAGGAGGAGGAGGAAGAGGAGGTCTCCGAGGTACGGCGCGGGGGAGGCCCCGGGGGTTTCCCTGCTGATCCGGTTTCATAATTCCAGCTCGCTCCCGGCTCCCCCCGCCCTCGGCCCTGCGGCAGAGCCGGGAAAGTGGCAGCACCTCGTGGCGGGGCACGGCCGATCGCGGCCTCCGGTCGCCCCCGCCTCGGGGAGCAGCCGCCGGGGCCCCCCGGTTTTCCCCAGGGGGCTCCCTGCGAGCCGCAGCCAGCGGCAGCCTTCATCCCCGGTGTGGCTTTATCCCGAAGGGAAAGGCCCAGGGGCTGCTGCAGGTGCTCCCTGCCGCCGTGCTGTGTGCCATGTGCTATATCGCGGTGGATGTGGGAGCCGGGAGAGGGAGAGCCGAGCGGTGGGAATGCTGCCGGCAAGCCCGGGATGGGGCTCCGGAGGCAGGCCGGAGCGCTGGCTGCGTGGCTGGAAAGGTGTTGGCGCGCCCAGTGGTGGGAATAGGTCGTCTTGGAGAGAGTGTGCAGGTAAAGCAGGTGAAGGTGCAGCTAGGCGAAAGCTGCCGGAGTGCCCAGGGCGTTGAACTGTTGAGTGACGTTTTCTGCGAAGCTGAAAGCCGCCCTGAATCCATGCAATGCAAAAAGAAGTCCAGGGAAGCATTAATAACTCGGTTTTGTCTGGTGATAGGATTTTCAGGTAGGTATTGCTGGAAAAGGCCAGTAAGGCTGGGAGCCCCTTATTTGCATATGTAGTCACACAGGCTTGCTTTGTTGAATGGCTTTAATTTTGTAACCTCCCCAGCTGAACATTCACTTCTGCTTTGTTGGTTTTTTTTTTTATGTAGTGCCTGCAGAAAAGTCCACTTGAAGTTTTTTAGCTTTTCTTTGAACTTGGTTTCTAAGCGGTTTGGCTTTCAAGTGATATATCTACAGTTCTGTTAGAAATGGGGCAGGAAGGAAGAGTCTGATAGGTTCAAGGAAGGGCTGGGCTAGGATGGTGATAGCTTTTTCCACGGTTGGGCAGCAGTCTGCATTTTATTCCTGCTGAAGTTGATACAAGAAGCATTTTATCCAGCTCTTTGAGATAAATTGCACGTAGTGAGCATGTCTCAGGGAGTCTGTATGCTTTTTTCTGTGGTGTTAATTTTTAGGAAAGTCGATATCATTGTGTAGGTAGAAGTTTTTATGGTGTAAGACTTGTAGGATAGCTGAACTGTGTTGTCCAGCAGCCCTACAGATGTTTGGAGAGCTCGGTTGAGCAAAGGCCTTAGGAATTTGCTGGGGTGCTGTGTGGTGAAGGGATGGAGGCCCTGGAGTGACTTCAATGTATCAGTTGACAAGCTCTGAGATCAATTGCTTGTGATGGAAACATTCAACAGAGTTTGTGTCAAGCCAGACCTGCTGGTGAAGTCACAGGCAGGTTTTATTTAGTGGTCCAGAGCCCTTCTTCCCAGTGGCTCCTTACACTGGGAGCTTCCAGGTGCAATCCTGTGTGCAGCAGGATGGGAAGGGCAGAGACAGCTGAGGAGTACAGGTGGTGGGTGAGGTGAGCTTTGCCTGCTTGCTGTGCCCTCAGAGCCATAGGTGCCTATTTCACATTCTTTGGGAGCTGCAGAGAGGAAGAAATGCCAGTGATCATTAAATATCATGAGGCAGCAGAACAGTTGATTTTTTTTTTCTTTGATAGAGTGACATGTGCTGTAGATACTGATATAGGCAATTTGTGAAGGCAGTTTGGGCATCTAGAAGCTTCCCCAGTGGTTTAATCTTATCCTAAGTGAGGGCTTTCCCAGGCTGGGTGGTCTGGGATTAAATATCAAGCCGGGCTAAATAAGCAGGTGAATAATACTGACATGATGACATTCAGGATTCACAACAAAATATATGCCACATGCTTCGTTTATAATTGTTCTTGATCATGCAAAAATCTGTTCTAGTCTTTCTCCTAGTGACTTCAGGATGAAGTGATGCAGCTGGTAGAATATGCACAGCTGAAGTCACAGTTTTTAGGAATGTGAGCATGAGGATGGCCTGATTAGTGGAGCAGAGCATCCAACTTGAATGTCATTCCCAGCAGCTCCTGGGGAGGGAAAGTGTTTGGAGTGTTCTCAGTGAAAGGGAGGTTTCCTTGTCTGCAAGGAACCTGATGGTTAGTTTTGGCTTTTAGAAGCTTAAAAAAAACCCCACTGTAGGAACAAAGGGCTTTTTAGTTGTTTGGGGGTTAAATTTTTATTTTATTTCACATTTTCTTGAGTTGTGCCCAGCTCTGCAGTTGGATTGTGGTCTTCTGACCAGGGGCAGTGTGGAAGGCACATGAAGTGAAAAACACAAAGAAATGTAAGTTGCTGGTTTTGCTGTAAATGGAAACTGCTGTGGGAATGCTGCAGAAGCTGGTGTTCCCTCCCCTTCATTATCTCTGTAAACTTAAGATAGTTTGTCTTAGGCTATTTTTTGCCCTTCCCATGCTTAATACATTAAGACTTCTCTAATCTCTGAAGCAAAGTGCTTCTAGATTTGACTGCTAATGAGACTGCTTCTAAAATTCAGGAGTACAGTGGCAACAAGTCCAAGGAATTCTAAAGGGAAAGCTGGCACATCCTGAGTCACAGAAACCCCAGGAGTAGAAAAAGATGTTGTTCAGCTTAGCTGTTGCTGAGCTGATGGAATGGAATCGAGAGTTATGGTCAGCTGTTTTCATGTCCATGTCTAAACTCCATCAGATCTCAGTGTGGAAACACAGGCACTGTGGAGA